AGGCAGCGCTGCTAGCAGCGCTGCCTGCACAAGGCCAGAACCGGCATATTTATACTACTTGGTTTCTTTGTTGACATGCAAATAATATCTTAGGGTGACCGGGCTTTGCTCGGAGTGCATATAATTTTTAGAGTTTTTAAAAAATAGTTGCAAGTCTTTTGTAAGACAATTGAAAGACAGCAGGCAAATTTGTTTGAAAGATTTCGTTTATTCTGGCATAAAAGTCTTACAAAAAAAGCTGCCTTGCCAAATTTCATGGTGAAAAGCTATTTTTTTTTTTAATTTATACTTTTTTTGTTTTAAAACGAAAAAAAAATATTTTTTTATGCCAATTAATATTTAGAAACTATTGTGTGTATTTTTTAATGTAAGGTTGTTGTTATTATTTTTATTAAATTTCTTTTAATTTTATTGTTTTAAAAAGAAAAGCATTTTTTAACCTAATTTAATTTTTAGAAACTTGTTTATTTTTTACTATTTTTTGTTTTATATTTTATTTAGATTTTTTTCTAATTTTTAGATTTGATTGTTTTAAAAGGAAAATAATCGTTTTTTTGTGTGATTTAATATTTAAAAACTTATCTTATGTATTTTTTTAAATTAAATTTTTAGATTTAATCGTTTTAAGAACATATTTTTTTTAAAGTTAATATATTTTTCATAAATATATCTTTATTTGTTTGCTATTATTTTTCTTTTTTTTTAAATTTAGCTCTCTATTAGATTTTATATTTTGTTGTTAAAGAAAACATTTTATGAATTCCATTTAATTTTTAGAAACTTTTCTTNTAAATCTTAAGCTTAGGTTTACATGGTATTTATTAGGGAAGGAACTGTATTTTAATTAAAAAAGCTTAAACAAATACGTATACTTCATTAAATGTTTATGTTTTATTCAAGGATTTACATATTTATGTAAGTTAACAAAAAGATGTAACTACATCAATAATTATGTTCGCTTAAGTACCCGCATCGAGGTACTTAAGCGGGTTCTTTTAAGTACCCAACCCGCCTAAGTACCTCAAAAGGCTGACATTTTTCGTGAGGTAAAGCGGGTTTTACTGCATTAAAGACTTTTATCTATAAAAGTCATCAATAAAAATTAGTCAATGACTTTACTTTTAAAAGTCATCAATATTAACCAGTCACTGACTTCTATTCTTCATTTGTATAAGTCGGAGTAAACTTTTTCGCTCCAACATATTCTTAACTGCGAAAAATTACAATGAATTTTATACGTATGACTTAAAAAATAAAAGTCAGTGACTGATTTGATGAAAAGTAAATTCACGGACTGATTTTTATAAATAAAAGTCTTTAATAAGTGCTATATAAGAAATATTAAATAAAAATCCAAAATAACTGTTATTCGCACACTACATATATAAAAATAAAAAATAATTGTTAATTTGGATTTACAAAATTAAAATCAAAAATAATAATATATTTTTATTAATTTTACTGAAAATTACAAAAAAAATGTATTTCAAATTTGATTCTCGGTGAAAAGAGAAATCGTGTGGTATGTATCACTTAGTTGTAGAACATTTCGTTCATATTGAATTATTGAACTGACAGTTTTCATAATAACTGTTATGTTCGGTCCTTGGTCTTCCTTTTCACCGAAGATGCAGAAAAAGGTAAATATTTGGGACAGGTGGAAATCCACTTCCCTGTGTTGACTACGTACCGACCTTGATATCGAGGGTATCCGGGGGTGCACGACTATCGTAGCGCTTGCGTTGATCTGCTCTATTGTGCGCAAAGGTCGATGTATGTACGCTTATCTTAAAATTATGGCACACCTTGTATGCATGTAACATATAGCATGTGCTTACTTCTATATACATACATACATATGCACATAGATAATATCTTGCAACATATTAACACTACATGAGGGGAATCAAAACTTTGTTCAAAATTACAAAAGATAAAGTTTTTGTTTTTCCACTTTATAGTGTTTCCATTTCATTTCATATTAAATACTTGCCGTTACTTGACTCTTAAGTTGTGTCTCAACTCTATTCTTCCGCTATATTTATTTGCAGATAAAACGGAAGCTCGAGGAACTGCGTAAAAATAATGAAAATACGAAAAAGAAAATGCAACCAATTTGGAGAAACAGCGCTCGAGCGAGGCAATAAAACCTACAACTGTAAGTAAGATAAAGTGAAGTGAGCTGAGGAGCCACCGCGCCAACGAGCCAACAAGCCAACAAGCCAACGCCACACCAACGAATCAACCAACCTATCAGCCAGTCAATCAGTCCTTAGTCACTTAGTCAGCTAGTCATTTAGTGTGTGTGTCAGTTGGTGAGAGGAAACCATCAGTCAGCGTCCGCGTCGTCTTCGACGTCGTCATCGTCGGAAGAGTCAGTCAAAATAATAGTCAACCGTCACGTCAGAGCACTTCAGATTGCATGCGAATATCGCTTGCGCTCACTTAACCATTGAGCGCCGCCCCATTTCCGGCAGGCAACCAAGAAGGGCGGCCGGCGCAACTTCTCTCGCCAATTCTAACAACCGAGCCTGCAACCTGCCTTTCGCATAGCCAAAATTTTCTCGCATAAAAGGCAATGAACTTTCTGAAGCAGCTACTTGACGGTTGTTTCGTGCTGTGTGGCTTCAGTTTCTTGATTTTCCTATATTTACCACTCATGTTGGCGATGCCGGAACAAACGCGTCTGGCAAACGATTTCGATTACCGGTTGCAGCGTGCAAAACATGTGTTGCGGGAGTCGCCACTCATTGACGGGTAAGTAGTTAGTTAGTTGTTGGTTTGGTACAAGCTGGTGGACGTTTTATTAGATAAATTCTTAGTTCTTTTACATAAGTACGTCGATTATATATTCTTATAATTTTTTCCCTTTTCTATATTTATGTAGACCAGCTTTTAAAAGCTTTTTATTCATTTAAATGCATGCGCATAGAGCGCTGACGGGAATCGTTTATACATAAGTTCAGGTGGAAAAAGCTCTATCTGCCCATAATCGGAATGGAGTTAAAATCTTTTCTGATCGCCACTGACGTAGATCTCCCTCGGCCAAAGAGAGCTTTTACACTATGTGCTCTCATGTAATAAGTAATAATAACAGAAAGCCTTTAAAAGTTTCTTTCGCTTCTCCAGAGAGCTTTTATGTGTTTTGTTTTAATTTTTTACTTTTTATAAATTTGTTTAGACCAGCTTTTTAAAGTTATTCATGAATTTATAGAGCGGTAACTGGCATAGATTTACTAATTTACAAAGCTTCTTTAAGCTTTCTACACATTTGGCATATTCATAAGATCATGGAGTTAGAACTTTTTCTGATTGCCACTGATTTAGAGCGGTGGTGGGCATCAGCTTGCCTGCGGGCAAAGCTCTTTCAAGCTTTCCATAATAAATATGTATATACAAAGCTATATAGGGCTTTGCCTGCGGGCAGGCCGGTGCCCACCACCAATTTAGATCCCCGTCGGCCAGAGAGCTTTTGCTCTCTGGACTTCCAAATAATATGTAAATACAAAAAGCTTTGAAAAGCTTTTTCAGCTGATTCATAGAAAGATTTTATTTTTGATATTTAAAATGCTCATCTAGTTGAATATGTATAGTTTTCCCTTTTCTAAGTTTGTTTATATCAGATTTTTAAAGCATTTTTAAGCTTTGTTCACATCACGTATAAACATATGCTCAGAGGGGAAAAAGTTTTCTCTGTCCGGTAAAACCGTTTCTGATTGCCACTGATTCAGAACCCTGTCGGCCAGGGAGAGCTTTTGCTCTGTGCGCTCCCACATAAAATGTATTTATAGAAAGCTTTGGAAAGCTTCTTCGGGGGGAGTCTTTATTTTTTGAGCTTTAAAAACTTCTCTCACTTTATTTGTTGTGTCGTTACTGGTTTTGACAGATACTGTCGCAGCGAAAGATTGCCATTAATAATCGTAAGTAATAATAAAATTTACGAAACCAAGGGTTCTCTAAGCATATAGTCTCGATGACTATCTTTCTAGACCAAAAAGGAAGTGATCTACATACGTACATATGTGCACTTAGTACTTGAGCCCACNATCGTAAGTAATAATAAAATTTACGAAACCAAGGGTTCTCTAAGCATATACGTACATATGTGCACTTAGTACTTGAGCCCAAATTTCATTAAAATTTCTTAAATTTATTTTCATTCAGATCGTCGCAATGATCGCGATGTTAGATTTGAGCAAGAAATTATAAGGAAGTGAGGCTAAAATTTTAGTGCGCCGTTGAAATCCCGAGAAGATCTCGAAAAACTTCGGAAATTCATGGATAATTTCATATTTTTATCAATTAAAATTTTTTCACCATAATTTCGTTAAAAAAAAACTAGTCTTAAAATTTTACAAAAGTCGAAGGTCACTTTTCCTGTAATATCATTGTGGTTTCGAAATCTAAAAATAACCTGTACTTAGAGCTAGTGGTCACCCCAGCAGACATAGACCTGCTATTAGACTCTTTGGGAGTATATCCGATTCTTTCCCCTATGCATTTCTAAATAAACCGAAATGAAGAATTTACAAATTTCAGCAATCGCCGAATCTTGATACCGACTATATATAAGTTCGGTCCCAAGGGTCCCAGCACCCATGAACTTCCTTGTTTTTGCAGCTTCTGTAGAAATCATTATAAGGCCCCAACATCAATGATCTGAGCTCTCAGCAGGCCCATGTCTAAAGAAATTTCTCCGCGGCCCAACGTTCAAACCACCCGCGTTCTTTTCGAATCCTATCCTGGTCGCAATAAGAAATTACAAATTTTCTGCTGGGTTGATACAAATTTACCCAAACCGAGTGATAAGAAGTTTACGCATAAAAAATTATACACATTTTCTATTTTAGCATCTATCGGCTATTAATAAAGAACACTGAATTAGACCACCCTGTTCGAACTTACATATATACTAATAGACGGATGTATGCATTTATACATGATTCCCAGAATTTGTTGCAAACAGCCTAAAGCGTTGTGGTATTTCAAGTGATATTTACTTTAGTCCACACGTTCAAGTAAGTATGTGCATTAGGGTGGTCCAAAACAATAAATTGTCGGAATTGTAAGGCTCCGAATCCTCTAGGATTGTTCTATATCGAAAAAAGTACATCCCAAAGCGCTCAAAGTTTTCCACGTATTTTTATATGAAAAAAAAAACTTTTCGTAGAAATGGTATAGAATTCTTGAAAGTGAATATTTTTTGCTCGGAAAACTGTGGTTCTCTTTAGGAGACTTTCAATAATAATATCCAATTATTTACTTAACCATTTTTCAACATTAACGGTTTTTTATTGGTCGCCCAATTGCATTTGCCGGGGTTTTTGTGGGTTTTTGGCAGGCCTATAATTTATAGTTGCGATGAAAAAATAGCTAAATAAACAATTCGGTATTATTGTGGAAAGTTTGTTGAAGAGAAACACAGTTTTCCGACCGAAAAATATTGATTTTGAAGAATTCTATACCATTTCCAAGAAAAGTTGTTTTTCCCCATATAAAATACATGGAAAATTTTGGGCGCTTTGAGCGACCTCTAAATATTTTTTGATTTCAAAATAAAAAAAATATGGGTATTCTAGGGGGTGAGAGCATAAACCTTTCGACTTTACTTTTTTCCCCCATCTACATTTTTGGACCACCCTAATGTACATACATATGTATAAGTATACATATAAACAAATACACGCATATTTGCACTTCCTTCCACACAAAATATTTGCATTACTCGGTTGTAATTAATGCTCGCATGTCAACCAAGCTAAAAACAGTTATGTAATAGATTTTTCACTCATCCACATGCCCCAAAATGGAGGCGCTTCCTTCGTTAAACCGCTTTCCAGCCCTTTCCGGTGACTTGTTACTCTGTCACTATATATGTATGTATGTATATGCTGTACATGTATTTGCATATATGCACGTACTTTTCTTCGCACACCATCTTCAAAAGAGTCACAACTCAAAATTAGGCATTTTTGAAATTATCGCTAAAAATTTACACAGAGCTTTTATTTACCTTTCAGCAAAAGCTGGAGCAAATTTTTGTTATAATTTGTCAAAAAAAAAATCCTAAGGTAAAGTCGCCATTGCCTGTATGATTAGAATGTGCTACGAAATAGTTTCTCGCATTTTCTGACGAACGTATTATTTTGAGTTGTGACCCTTTTGAAGACGGTGTGCGATATGTATACACGAGTACATGTATAATTGCCTTCCCTTGCCTTCTCTTTACTGACATTTGGCATAATGCTGTAGGTCATTTGCTAGCTTCCTCGCCAGAAATAGATTACGAGTTATTAGTAAAGTGTGTGCTTACATATTTTCCTTTTAAAATATTTAGTTGTTGCTCGTAGTTTCTACATGCATGAATAAGCCAATTATTTATTCGTGTGTGTGTGTGTGTTTTTGTTCTAAGTGTTTTTGCAAGTGTATGTAAAATAAATGGCGCAGAGAGTCGTAAATTGATGCACCAGCTGCGGTTCGAACAGCTTTTGGGAATGTTAAAGTATAAGTAACTAAGCCAAAAAAAAAAACTGCGTTATAAAATAATAAAGAAGTTGCACAAATACAGTGGCGGTCTAGTAACGAGATTATAGCAGCAAGTTGCTTTTATAATTAATTGATTTTATGAAGATTAATTGCGTAAAGCTTAATGTAAATATTGTCATTGTTTTTGTTTCTTTAAGTTCAACTGCAATTTAGTTTATCGATTAGTTGTGCGCGTCATCCACTACATGTGGGGACGTGCTTAGGAGCTTATGTTAGCTTGGATTTCGAGAGGATAAACAAACATACATGTATATGTAGGTAGAGCGGTCTTGAACAGCGCAGCTCCATTGTTTAAAGACGTAGAGATAAGTTATCTGACTTAGCTGGGACATTTTAGTAACGTCCAACTGAGTACAGTCGTCGGTCATTCAGATAGGATGGGGGTCGAAACTGATCTCATTAGGTCCAACGCTCTGTGACATAAACAGAAGCGTCCCACAACCTGACCTTTACTCACATTTACTTTGGATTGTGTGATCGTAAGACCTGCTCCAAAGCTAATTTAATTTGTTGATTAGAAATTTGTGGAAATGTTTCATTCGTATACCACCTAAAATTAAACTTTTCGGTTAAAGAGCATAGAATATAAGTATTTTGAATACCTTTGAACTACTGTTGAAGAACTAGCTTCTCGTTAGCATGGTGAGAACGGGGGCATGCGGCACTGTAATATTGGTTTGGCCTAGAGGGTAACAAGATTCCAAAAGCTACAACCCTGGCTTTTAGACTAGGTTGGGTTAGGCTTAAGCGTCTGCATTCTTCTAACGTAGGAGGGAGGCGCACTTAGCCCTAGGGGGTCCGCTTTGATGCCAATTGAGGGCTCGAGTTCGAACCCGTTCGTTCACCTAGAAGTTATTTAGGTTCATTAATGCCAGCTTCACAAAGAGGTGGTGGTAAAATGAGCGTCTTCTCGCCCACAAAAAGCCAGGACAGTGACAGAGCTAGTGTTCCATACTCTCAAGCCCATTCTGCTAGCATGACTTCCCACTAGGCATCGGTCCAGTCCGATTTGGGCCAGTGGGATGACGTTATTAAGGTGTCTTCTATTTCTAGAAAGATACCTAGCGTTAAGCTACTTGTATGTCAAAATTTATCGATAACGGAAACGATTTTATGGAATGCGGTTTCCATAGATTTTCCTTCAGAACAGGCGTTCTGGCCGTCAGGTAGCTCCATAGGATCCATCCTCTGCCGAATGAATGTGCAGTGTT